AAATAGGGTTGATGTGGATTAAAACATGACAACATTTGTAAAGAGTTTAGCACAGTGCCTGACAGACACTCCAAAAAAAAAAAAAGTCAGCTGTTAGAGGTTATATAACCCTATCCCTAAAATCTTCCAGTATCTCTCAGGAGCTTTCAAGATAAAATTCAAACTTTAGCATCTTGCTTAAGCCCTTATGACTTGGCTCCTGACAAGCCTCCAGCCATCTCCAGCTACCACCATGGACACCTGTGATCTGGTCACATGGTTACTGGAATAAAATATAATGGTAAGCAAAGAGACCATTTGTGATAGCAACAAAAAGACAACATCTAGTAACATCTTTAGGAAGAAGTGATCAGGACCTAGTTTTAAAAAAAAAAGTATAAAATACAATAAAGAAAGTGAATATACAGTTAAATGCACAGTATACCTTGTTCATGCGTAGGAAGATTCAACATTATAAACATGTTAATTCTCCCAAACTGACTGATATATAAGAGCACTGTAACCACAATCAAAATCAAAGTGGGATTTTGGGAGAATCTGCCAGAAATATTCTTAAGTTCATCTGGAAGAATAAACATACTAGAAAATGCCAGAAAAATTGTGAAAAGGAGGAGCAATGAGGGGAAACAGGCCTCCCAGACATTAAAATGTATTTATTTTAGGGGCCGACCCAGTGACACAGCGGTTAAGTTCTCGAGTTCCGCTTCAGTGGCCCTGAGTTCTCCAGTTCAGATCCTGGGCTCAGACCTACTCACTGCTCATCAAGCCACGCTGAGGTGGCATCCCACATAGAAGAACTAGAAGGACCTACAACTAGGATATACAACTATGTACTGGGATTTTGGGGAGAAAAAGAAAAAGGAGGAAGACTGGCAACAGATGTTAGCTCAGGGCCAATCTTCCTCAAAAAAAAAAAAGAAAAGGAAGAAACCACTTTACTCTGTAGCATTAAAAAAAAGTCACATAAGAACATTTACTAAGGGGCTGGTTATGAAACAAATTACTAACTTTCCTCTGTATAAAAACAAAATGTATTTTAATGGAAACTTAGTATACAATTAAAGTGGCATTTCATATTAGTCAGGAAAGATAGAGTATTAAAATTGTGTTAAACAAACTAGCTGGCCATTTGGAAAAAAATGAAGCTCAGTTACTTACAAATAATCCTCAGCCCTCACACCAAAACAAATTCTAGGTCGAATAAAGATTTAAATGTAAAAAATGGAACCACGAAGTACTAGAAGAAAACCTGGGAGAATACATTGATAATGCTGGATTGGTGAAGCCTTTCTAAACATAACAAATAAAGGAGAAGGGGGAGGCGGAGAGAAGGGAGGAGAAGAAAAGAAATGCAAAAGTCAAAAAAGAAGAGTTAAAACTTATCTAAATAAAATTAAAAGCTTTATATGGCCAAAATATATACATAGAGATACAGGTACTAAGTCAAAAGCTACAATACATCAGAGAAAATAACTGAGACACATGACAGACTAAGACCTACTATCTCTAATGTCGAGTGCTATTACATATCATTAACATAGTGGAGTTACACCACAGAAAAACGGTCCAATAAAAAGAATGGACAGTTGACAGAAGAAGAGTTGGTAAACATTTAAAAGATGCTTAAGAGGCCAACCCCGGTGGTGTAGTGGTTAAGCTCATGTGCTCTGCTTTCGTGGCCCAGGGTTCACAGGTTCGGATCCTGGGCACAGACCTATGCACCACTTAACAAGCCATGCTGTGGCAGGTGTCCCACATATAAAATAGAGGAAGATGGGCACAGATATTAGCTCAGGGCCAATTTTTCTCAGCAAAAAGAGGATTGGCAACAGATGTTAGCTCAGGGCTAATCTTCCTCACCAAAAAATAAATAAATAAAAAGATGCTTAACCACATTATTAAAGAAACTCAAATTAAAACAACAGATATCACATTTTAATCCCTAAGGTTAGCAAAGATTTAAAAAAACACAGAACCCTCCATATTGGCAACACCCACTCATGCTGCTGGCGGCAGTACAAACTGACATGGAAAGTTATCTATTACAATTTTAAATTTGCATTCACGTTGACCCAGCAATTTCAATTCTAGACGTCCATCTTACAGATATACTTGCTTGAGTGCCCAAAGCTGTATTTGAGAATTTCTCTGCAGCATTGTTTGCAAAGCATTGGAAATTGCCAAAATGTTCATCAATAAGGGAATGGTTAAATAAATTATAGTGCCTGCATACTATCTAATATAAAGTCGTTAAAAATAACAAGGTACATTTATTTATTCTGAACTGGTAGGATGACAATAAATTAAGTAAAAGGGCAAGTGCAAACAGCATGTATAATATGATCTCATTTCTTTACAAGAAAAGATCACATAGTAAATTATTGCTAATCTTTTTGCATTTTATGTAAATAAGAGTGCTTCTTAAAAGTGTTAACTTCTATTACTGAAAAGCCAGAATATTCATCAGGACATATTTTCAGCATCACTGAGATAAGTTTCTATAAAGGGAAAAATGTCAAACGGAACATACGTATTGATGTTTTTTAAGGCAACTAAGAATCACCTAATTTTGCTGTTGGGGTGACAAGTTACTAGTTCAAAGCTTACATTGGGAGGAGGAAATTTTATATTTTTCTAATTTTTAAATAAATACCACATTCAAATGGGTTAAATATTCCAAAGTTACAGAAGGGTATATTGTGAAATGTCTCCCTCCCATCCGCCTCTCCCCAGCACCTAGCTCTCCCCACAAGCAACCATATTACAAGTTTTGGGGTATCCTTCTGAAATATTCTATGCACACACAAGCAAATAAGTACACTTTTCCCTTCTTGTAACCAACTTTTATGCCCCTTATGTTATTCTTAATAAAGAATTAAGCTCACTTAGTGAGGTTGCAGATTTTAAAAGCATTTTCAATATCATGTTTCATAGTCTTAGGTGCGCACTCTCAAGGAGGTTATCTTATTTGTATCACACTTCCATCTTTCTAAAAGTTGTGGGAATTTCAACTGGGTTCCTTAGGCAAAAAGAAACACTAAACATGGTAGGATTTATGAAACACTAGACATGGTAATATTTATTGTGGAAACTCTTGGTTGAAGTGATTTGATATACACAGTACTGAAGCTCATTTCACATGCTTAACCAATGTTAGATTCATAGACACAGTTCATGTTACAGTAGAGAAGGAACTTTGGGACTACAACACCTACATAACACATGAACAATATTTATTATTGTTCGCTTACTGTTCTTTATTAACTGCTCATGTTTTCACAACTGCCTGTCTCTCAGCCTGGATACTCATCTGGACGGTGCCAGGTCCCCATACTCAGCACCCCAATACTCCTTTATTTGCATTTATCACACAACTTCTCCTTTATGTGGTGACCTCCTTGCCGGCAGAGACCATGACTTCGTGATTTTTACATTATCAAGCCCTAGTACCCTGCCTGGCAGCATTAGACTTCTAGTAACTGCTAGTGAAAAGGAAAAACTTTATACCAGAGGTGGTATTTGAGAAGGTAACATCTAAGATTGGAAAAATTAGGTGTTTGTCAGCCAGAAAAAAGCACGGAGAGGTGAAAAAGTGCCTCTGGGAAACTGCAGATAGTTCGGTGTGACTGGCATGCACCTGTTTTGTTGTTTTGTTTTTTTGCGAGGAAGATCAGCCCTGAGCTAACATCCATGCCAATCCTCCTCTTTTTTTGCTGAGGAAGACTGGCCTTGGGCTAACATCTGTGCCCATCTTCCTGCACCTTATATAGGACACTGCCACAGCATAGCCTGACAAGCGGCACATGGGTGCGTGCCCAGGATCCGAACCCCGGCCGCCAGCAGTGGAGCGTGCGCACTTAACTGCTATGCCACAGGGCCGGCCCCTGCATGCACTATTTAAATAAAAGAGAGAAGACTGAATACGCATGGGGATGCCTCCAGGATAAAGTTCAAAAACTGTTTAGCAAGACATACCAAGAGGTGTTCCCCAACTAGCTCTGAACCCACACTCCCTGCCACCCCAGCTCCCTTAGCCCTGGCTATATCCAGTTACTTGCAATTTTCTGGAAACATATTCTTTCACACCTCAGCCGTCCTTTGTACTTGTCTTTTGCTGGGAATGCTCTTCTTTCTTCAAAACTCCGCTCAACCGCCCCTTTCCCAAGGAAGCCTTCCCTGTTCCATCAGACGAATACAGGAGCCTCTCCCTGGCTAACCTGTCTTGTGGTGCCCTTATAGTGCATTGACTTGTCTGGTTCCCCAATGAAATCTAAGCAATGTGAACCCGGCTTTTCCAATTTTGCATCTCCAGATTTCTTGGTGCTAGATACTCCTAGCGGTGGTGTTCAGGGAGAAAGACAGACCCTATTTTCCATTATACCCCCGTTCCAACATTTGAAAGCCCACAATCACTGTGCAGACCGTAGATCACGGTTCACAGACCTGGGGGGGGGGGCTTAAAAGTTAAGTCAGGTAATTAAAACAATTTGTTAGCTACCCTTGGTGGCCACTCTGTGTCACAGGCTCGCCAAACCGGGGAACGCCCAGCCAGAGCAGTCCATGGCGCTCAGTCTGCTCCAAGGCATGACAACGTCTCCCCGTTCAGCGCTGCCCTGAGCCCAGCGTGCAGGAGTCAGGAGGCCGCGGCAGACAACGTGTCTCGGAGGCTGGACTTGCAGAGAGAGCTCTTCCGAGGCCGCGGGCTGCGCGTGAAAAGGAACCAGACCCAAGGCCTGCGGGACTGTTCTGTGGCCCAGGACCGTCTTGCTCAGCATTTCCTGCTCGGCGGGTTCCCAGAACCTCAGGGCTAAGGAAGCACGCCGGTGAGAGGCCCCAAGAGGCGAGCGAGGCGCCAGCGGGAAGAGGCGCGGCGGGGCTTTGTCCCGAGATGCCCGCCCAGCGCCCGCCGGGCCGGTGCCCGCACCCCCTCGTCCCCGCGGACCCCGGCCGCCACCCCACCGGTGTGGGCACCGAGCTGCACAGCACCGGGCAGGCCCCGCTCCCGCCCGACACTTCCGCACTCTAGGGCCGACCGGCGGAAAAAAAGGGCTCCAGAAAGTTCCACGAGCGCCGGGAACCCAGGCTGGCGCCCACCCCCACAAGGCCCTTCGGCAAGCCCCTCCCGGCCCGAGCGCCCCCGCGCCGTTGCCGGGCAACCGCGGGGCGGTGGGAGCGCCGGGGAGGGCGGGACTTCCGGCGGGTGACGCGACCGGGCTCGGCTACAAAAGACGACGGCTGCGGCGCGCCGGGGGAACTTTCCAGAACGCCCGGTGCGAGGCGGAGGAGCCGCGACCCGAGCTGCGCACAGCAACGCGCTCCCTCCCGCTCCCCCGCGCCGGCCTCGGCCCGCTCATCGGTGAGTGTCGGCCCCCGCGCGTCCCCTGGCCCCCATGGCGGCGCCGGGAGCCGGAGGGAGCCGCGGCCGGGGGCGGTTGGCTCCGCGTGGGCGGGAGGGTTGTCGGTTCCCGGACCCACGATTTCCTCCTTGGAGGGCTGGTGTAGTGCCCGGCCACCCATCCCCGGCCCGCAGCGAGCGACCCCGAGATTCTCCCGAAGTTTCCCCGCTCCCCATCCAGCTTGAGGTCCCCGCGGACCCGCCGGCGGCGGCTTGCGCGCGCGCGCGCCCCCGCGACCCTCTGCCCGCGCTCGCCGGGGGTGGGCGACTCCGCGCACGCGCAGAGGAGCTGAGGGGCGAGGGGCTGCGGGCGGAGCGGGCGGAGGCTGCAGGTTTCGCTTCTCCGCTCTGCCCTCCTTCTCTTTGTTGAGCCCTGGGCTTCGCCTCCCACTGCTCGATCTTGGGTGGGAGGGAGAAAAGGAAACCTTCACTGTCGGCGCCCAGCGCAGGGGGAAACCTGCCGACGTGTAGAGTGGGCCGGCTCGTGGAGGCAAGGGGGGTTCCGCGGGCGAAGCCGAGGAGCTCTAAGTCCTGTGATTGAGAAACATCCTTAGGGTTGAGGGGGAGGGGAGCCTGCTCTCTGGCGCCGGCGTTCTTAATTAGTTTCAAAACCCCTCCCAGCCCCCTTGTGCTCAAGTGTCTTTTCTTCTCGGGAGGGTATGGTTTATCAGATTTACCGAAGACGAAGATGATGTAATAATAACCAATGGACTGAACCTATTAGTGCTCCTTTTGATTACTGCTGCCGCTCACTGCTTGGGGAGGCGAACAGGAAGGGTCCAGATAATAGTCGCGTTAGTGTGGAGGCTTTCATGTGGGAGAGGGGAACCAGCTGCTGTAGAAGGAGGCTCTTGAATTATTCCCTGATAATTATTAGCTTATATTTAGTCTGTTAGAACTCAGGGCTGAATTATCGAAGGGATCGTTACCTTCTCCGTGAACTTTAGGGAAGGCGGTGCTCTTATAATCAGATTTGGCGAAGAACAGATTTCTCTGCTTAACTCTGATTTTACTAATTAAAACTACCAGTTGAAAGTCGGTTAAAATTGCCTTTTCTTGTTTTATGCTGTAGAAAATGGTGAAAGAAACCACATACTATGATGTTTTGGGGGTCAAACCCAATGCTACCCAGGAAGAACTGAAAAAGGCTTACAGAAAACTGGCGTTGAAGTATCACCCTGATAAAAATCCAAACGAAGGCGAGAAGGCAAGTAGCATGCTCATATTAAACATAGCTGGATAGTTCTTTGCCAGGTGTATGGTATTTCTATTACAACCTGAAATTGACTGTCTAATATAGTGGTTTTGCTTTGTAGTGTTTTTTTTAGTGAAATTTATTCCCTTTTTTCTCAAACAGTTTAAACAGATATCTCAAGCTTATGAAGTGCTGTCTGATGCAAAGAAAAGGGAATTATATGACAAAGGAGGAGAACAGGCCATTAAAGAAGGTGGCGCAGGTGGCGGTTTTGGCTCCCCCATGGACATCTTTGATATGTTTTTTGGAGGAGGAGGAAGGATGCAGAGAGAAAGGAGAGGTAAGAAGAGCCTAGTCTCCCTGCAGCAAATTAAAGAAGCCCTGGGTCAGAGCAAATTCTTGAGAATTCACTTATTTTAAATGCTTATGTGTCAGTATAGTGTTGCAAACTGACCATAAACTGCCACTTTGATTTATGGTATAGTTTTTTTAAATGAGATTTGATGTAACTAAAAATAGCTAAGCCAATCCAGTGCTAACAAGTGAGTGCTTCTAAAGCTCTCAGATACAGACGATTTCTGTGAGGTTATCCGGCATTAATTACAGAAACAAAGAATAGGCACATAATTTTTTTAAAAATTTAAAAATTAAAAAAAAATTTAAATTTTTACAAATCTTATTTGACCCCACCCACCCAGTGGGAGGTACTGACGAGAGGGAGTTAAAGTTCAGAAACCTAAAGTTTCCTCCTGGTTGGATATAGCAAGGCAGCAGTCGAGTCAGGGTTGGAGCACAGGTTCTTTGCCAGCAAGTAGCCTGCTGTGCCTTGAATCTTGCCTTGGCTTTCTTGTATCAGAGTATGTGTCCTTAACATTTAACAGAAGTGTGGTTTCTGAGCTGTGGAAATATTCTTCATAGGAGTACAGTGTTGGGGTCAGAGAGTTAGTCTCATTTTGTTCCCAGTAGGGTTTATACAAACAAACAAACAAGGGCTGATGGGTAGAGCCCATTTCAGAAGGAATAGGCAAGCCATTAAATTTCACTTGGAACTGTTTCAGATTGAGATAAGACTGGAAATTGTTTATTCAGTGCTCCTTGAAAGGGGTATGTTTTTATTTACTTAATTTTAAGGAATTTATCCTGAAATAATTTGCAATGAAAATCAATTGCTTAGGATGGTTTGTCCCACAGAATAGTAGTGGTCCTTTTTGTTTTTTCTGCTTTTTTTAATGAAGGATTGACCGGCAGGCTCTTGTGTGTGGCTTAGGTCAATGAAAGGTCGTTTTTTGGTGTGACACTGGAAAATACTTGCTGAATAGAGCTGCAGCAGCTTTTTCCTTCCCTGTACTCCACACTCGATGAAGCTGCAGTGAGAGCGGTTGGCAGCTTTTGGCATGCCAGAAGCAGCTACATGGGACTGTATTTATGATTCAGAACCCAAAGGTGGAGGTAGGTAGGAGCAGTAGGATATAGTTAATGGTGCTTCACACTTCATTGGAAACTGAAACGTTCACTTGGCATGTTGTGCAGATGGGAGTTGGGGGATTTTTTTCATTTACACGTAAGGCATTACTGTCTTGTGATAGATAAAGTCCTTGTGGAAGAATCACTAGCTAGGAACTTATTAACCATTGGCAGGTGACTTCGTTTCCGTAGTCTCAGTATCCTTTTATGATCTCCACCTTCCACTTTGCTTTCTGAGGTGAGATATGGTGCTCCTTTGTAGCCACTGGCCACATTAAATTTAGATTAATTCAAAAAGAAAAACTCAGTTCCTCAGTCTCCAATAGCCACGTTTATGTGCTCGATAGCCACATGTGACTAGTGCCTCCTGTGTTGGATAGCACGGGTATAAAACATTTCCATCACTGCGGCAAGTTCTGTTAGTGCTATGATAAAGGATGTGAGAGATCTCGCCTTTAAACAACTAGTGCAGTAAATGTGCTGTTCTTGCTTCTTCTAAATTGTCTTCTTTGGAGACTGAAGAAATACATCAGCTTCCCTGGCCGATCTTGATTGGTTGGCAGTTGGTGTGCTGAAGGATTTTTGGATGAAGTAATTGGCCATGTTGCTCAATACCATAGTAAGTGAAAGATTGAAAGAATGTATTGGGACAGAAATGCAATTTGGATTTTTATTGTGAAATGTTGCCTCTATTTAATAACAGTGTTTTCTCAAGTGATTTTGCAGGGGGTTTTTTGTTTTTTGTGTGGAAGGTTGGCCGTGAGGTAACATCTGTGCCCATTTTCCTCTATTTTATATGTGGGACACCTGCCACAGCATGGCCTGATTAGCAGTGCATATGTCCACACACAGGATCCGAACCTGCAAACCCCAGGCTGCTGAAGTGGGCCGTGCGAACTTACCTACTATGCCAGCGGTCCAGCTCCGATTTTGCAGTTTTTGATTGCCATAATTTATAAAATGGCCACAACTTAGGCAGATTTCTTAATCTCACCCAATTTTCCTGATCTGAATTTACATCACAGTTGGAGGATCTTGTGTGGTAATGTGACCAACATTCTGTGTATGTAATAGGTGCTCAACAGACGTGAGGCTTGTCTTTCATTATCCTTTTCCGTTTTTATAGTGCGTTGAGCACAAATATGATGCAGCGTTTTAGATTCTTAATGAGCAATATTTTCTCCTAGGTAAAAATGTTGTACATCAGCTCTCGGTAACCTTAGAAGACTTATATAATGGTGCAACCAGAAAACTAGCTCTGCAAAAGAATGTGATTTGTGACAAATGTGAAGGTATGGTCTTTTAACATCTGTACTGTAACTGAAGCCTTTCTGGATATATATAAAACAAATTAAATCTTGGAGAGTGCAGGTATGAAGAAAACCACCGGAACCTCACAGCTAGAGAAATATTAGCAAAATATCAGCACTTACGTGCATACTTTATTTTTTTTCCCCCCCAAAACCCCAGTAGATAGTTGTATGTCATAGCTGCACATCCTTCTACTTGCTATATGTGGGACACGACCTCAGCACGGCTGGGGAAGCGGTGCTTCGGCGCGCGCCCGGGATCGAACCTGGGCTGCCAGCAGCAGAGCGCGTGCACCCCACCACTAAACCACGGGGCCAGCCCTATGTGTATACTTTAAATGCAGTTGGCATCAATCTAATTTGGTGTCCTTTTTTATCTTACTATCTCTAAAACTTCAGAATCATTCCAGTGTCTTAATAATCTGTAATACAATTTAAACAGTGTCTTTTTTTTTCTTTTTTGTGAGGAGATCAGCCCTGTGCTAACATCTGCCAATCCACTCTTTTTTTGCTGAGGAAGACTGGCCCTGGGCTAACATCCATGCCCATCTTCCTCTACTTTATATGGGACACCACCACAGCATGGCTTGACAAGCAGTGTGTTGGTGCACCCCCGGGATCTGAACCAGCGATCCCCGGGCCACCGCATGGAGGGTGCACTTAACTGCTTGCGCCACCGGGCCGGCCCCCAGTGTCTCTTTGTGGACACTCACTTGTTTCAATTAGAGACGTTATTGGCTGTGAACCTCTAAGCTTTTTATAAATAACAAGTTATTTTTTGGAAATTGGTATTTTCTAAAGAGAACTCTAAAATGTTCCCATCTCAGATAAAGTAGTACTAAGAATTGTGCTTTGGGAGCACAAGTTTAAAATTCAAAATTCTGAAATGGATCCTTGGAAAGACAGCAGTCAAGAAGTTTATAGATAACTGAAGCTGAATTTGGCTAGGTTTTATTAAACAGGCTGAATTGTAGATTCTTAGGGCAGCATTCCATTGACCTTGAAAGTATTAATAAAGTGTAGTGTTTAGGAATGGTCTTACTAAACATTCGTTACTGTGTTCAGTACTAAATTCAGATAATGTTTGATTTCTTTTTCCACTGTTTAGGCCGAGGTGGTAAGAAAGGAGCAGTGGAGTGCTGTCCCAACTGCCGAGGGACTGGAATGCAAATAAGAATTCATCAGATAGGCCCTGGCATGGTTCAGCAAATTCAGTCTGTGTGTATGGAGTGCCAGGGCCATGGGGAACGGATTAGTCCTAAAGATAGATGTAAAAGCTGCAACGGAAGGAAGATAGTTCGAGAGAAGAAGATTCTAGAAGTTCATATTGATAAAGGTGAGTTCTGAGCCACTTACTCTGAAT